AAAAAAAAAAATAAAATCTTAGCATGAAATTTCACCGCCCCATCCAATCCCTCAAAATCCTCTCAATTCTACCTGCAAAATAAATCGAGAGCCTGATCACTTTCTATCACTTCCTCCCTAGACCAAAACACCATCACCACCTCTGGACTATTGCTGAAGACCTTCCAACCAGACCATGACTTCCAATCTTGCCCCCTTCCGTCACTCGCCCGCAGAGCGGCCAAAGTGACCCTTTCACAAGTAAGCAGGTCACAGCACTGCTGCTCAAAGCTCGCACGGCGCCCACGTGTATGTGAGGGTAAAACCATGGCGTCCAAGCTACCTAGTGGACCTCATCGCCAAATCTTTTCCCCTCATTCACTTGGTGCCAGCCATATTCACTTTCTTTGTTTCCTGAACGCACCACGCACACCTCTGCTTCAGTCCTTTGCATTTGCTGGCCTGTCTTCCTAGCACATTTTCTCTCCCCTGGTCTCCATGTGGCTTGCTTGCTCTCTCACTTCGTTTAGGTTTTGCTCAAACTTCTCACCTTATGTAAAAAAGCACCTCCCTCCCCTCAGCTACTCTCTAGCTGCTCTATTCTCTGCGCAGTACTTGTTACCCCCTGATATGGGCAGGCATCTGTCCTCTGTGTCCCCACACTAGAGCATAAGCTCGCCATAAGAGCAGGGACTCCATCTGCTTTTTGCTTCTGTGTCTCTAGTACCTGGCACATAGTAGGTGTGCAATCACATCTGTTGAACAAATGAATAGTTGAAAGATATGAGAAGGTAACGGCCCCTCGTTAAACTAATCTTGAATTATTAATTTTTAATAGTCTCCAGTTACTAGCCTGATACTCACAAATTCTGCATTTTCTTCATCAACACAGTAACCATTCTTTGAAATGCATTCAGGGCAGCATTTTCCATCTAAGTGAATTAATTCTTCACCCTGTAGAAGTAAGGATTGCAGAGGCACATATCAAATTACCATCTCTAGGTAGCAGTGCCAAATTGCAAAACAGCGGGATTCCCTGACTGGAATGAAGAACCTCAGCACACCCTTTGCTTTGGCCCTCTGCTTATTCCCTCTCCCCATGTTGTTTTCCCATGGACAACCTAGGCCATGCAGCTCACCCCTCCAAGTGCTTTTTCATTCCAGCTCTGGTGATACTTGTGCACAGAGCCCTCCATCATTCCCCACCCATGCCTGGGAGCTCACACGAAATCAGAATGACCAAGATTGTTCATTGTTGTAGTCTCTTGGAAAGTTACCAGTTTCAGAAAAGGATCAGGCTATCTTAAATATACAAGGTTGAACTTGTGATTTGGTTTCATTAACAGTGTTCAAATCAAACCAACGCTTTTCCTTGAATACGAAATGAGATACATCCCTTTATGCACAGATGTAGTCTCAAGCATAAATTAAACAGGAGACAACTAATTTTTATTCAGTATTCTGAATCTGTTATCCAACTCACATAATTACTATTTTTTTAAATTAATTATAAGAAGAAAAAAAAAGGTCACACTGAGAGGGTAGATACTTAACTTACAAAGTCTTATTATTTTAATTTAACTTCCCAATATTAATAATTTCATCGTTTTTATTTCTATAATAAAATAACAAATGCTTACTATAAAAAAATTAAATAATTATAAATTCTATCACTTAGTATAATTCCACTGCAAGCCTGCCTCCCAGGGAATCTCCTGTGAAAGATACAATCTCTGTTTACAATTTTTCATGTGCATATACTAACATCTAATACCTATAGGCTAAAGAGTATTTTTTAAAGTACTTTCCACTTTCTAAAGATAGATCTTCTTTCTAAAGAATGGTGATGTTTCTTTAAATCAAGACATTTAATTTGGGATCTACATTACATTTAAAGTGCAGAAACCACGTTAGGTAAAAATTGAATAATGTGAAATTGTGCAACAGAATAATCACAGGGATATTTTATGTTTAAAAACACTGTGCACTAAAAAATGTATAAAATAAAGGCATTGGTTGTCTTTGAACTGTAGCATGATGGGTGGATTTTAAAGTCTCTTTTCTACTTTTCTTGAGTATCAATTTTATAAAATGAATATGTATTATTTTAATGAAGGGAAATAGGAACTTTTAAAGGAAATACAAAAATACATGAATGACTGTAACTTTTTTTTGACTGTAACTTTTTACGGTGTCTAAAAACTGATTTCAGGAAGAAAGGAGTCGTGTATAGATCGCTGTCCATCAAAATGTAATGCCAATCAGAGGCCAGTGGAGAGCAGGGGATGCTACAGAGAACGGGCGTATTTACATATAAATTGTTTTGCAGAAACGTGACAAATCAGCTGGTAGTGCAGGCCTAACCCAGAAATGTGAAATCTGCTTTCAAAGCATATAAAGGGGTTTATATGCAGGTAATCTAAGTTGTTTAAAACAATGACACTGAGTATTTGTACTTCTATTAAAGGCAAAATGCGTAACTGCTGCTTGAGTGCCTACTACAGGGCGTAGAGACCAAACGGAAAATGGAGCCTGCCTCATCCCAGTACGGCAAGGAGGGTGGCTGTTCAGAGGCTTCGAACGCTACTGTAAATAACAGGAGGCCTTGCTGCTGGGGAACAAGGATTCAGTTGGGGTGAGGTAGGGAGTCCTAAATAGATCTGCTATTTATAGAAGAAGCCCGGATGCCCCAAACTGCGGCAGTTCACTGCGGTGGGGAGCTTGCTCCAATTAGCATTTGACTTTTCCTTTGAGAAAAGTTGCTTTGAGGAACAAAACTAATTCTTTTCTTCTTAAGAGGATTCTGCTGCATGGGCCAGATGGAATCTGCTAACCCCTCCCCCACTGAATCACACCAACATCTATCCACCAGACGAAAGATGGTGTGAGTCCACTAGCTTGCCCATTGAAAAAGGAAACACTCTTTTGAGGGAATTTTCCTCCACTGGAGAAGGGAAAGGCACCTCACACGTGCAGTGTGCCCATCCCCTTCCGTGTATGTTGTGATAAGCTTCGATCCTACCCTCCCCCCACCACCACCATTTTATGTCCCAGGTGTGAATGCTAGGTCCTTTAAAAACAAGTAATTTGACTTCTCCATCTGAATTCATGTTCAAAGATGACACAAAATTTTAAAAAAATGAAAATCTTCATACTGTGCTATTTTACTATGGATGCATTTGTGTTTCAATGTCTAGGGATTTGGTTGGATACATCAAAAACAAAGGCCATGTCATTTTCTCCTTTTTTAACAAAGGAAAATGATGTGCTGATTTCCATGCTACTCAGAACATTGCTGTTCATAACCAATGTGATCATTATTACAACAGTGAACCTGTATAGTTCTGTCTCTTCTTCTACAAGTTGACTTTTCTGCCTCTTTGTGGACGCACATACACTTAGACCTAATCTACCCTTGGTATCCAGGAAACAAATGCCCGTGATATTCTAGGAAAGGCGGAAAGTGGGGTAGAATTTTGAATAAAAATACCAACAGCACACTTGCACTGCCCCCTCGGCAGACGGTCATTTTCTCCAGATGCTTCTCATGCATTTCATTCGTATTTCCATTATCGTTGATGCCACTGCATATTGTGATTGCTGTTGATGTATCTGACTTCCCCCAAAAGCCTGGGAACTCTTGAGATTAGAATGTGTCTTATTCATCTTTTTATCTCCAAGCTAAGCAGAAGTTAGGAAGTTTGCACTCCAGGCATTCACAGAGCTATTTGCAGAAGTGTGGCACAGAAAGAAGGCTAAGGGATATTTTTGGTAAGATTCAATTTTGGTTAAAATTTCACTTCTGGTAGTGTCTCCAGTTTAGAACCCAGTGCCTTCAACAACATTTGGAAACGCAGGTGTCACCTGGAAGACACCAGCTTAGTTGACTAAGGACCTGGAGAAATGGGCTAAAGGCATCAGAACTCCTCAGTTCCTAACAGAGACGATGGGGTGGGAGTGAGAAGCAGACAGTGCTGGGGGGTGACTGCAGGGGAACCGAGGCCCTCTCCATGTACTTCCGCTGTTGCTCCCCATTTTTCCTAAGAACAGAGAAGAAGACCTGGTGCATGGGGCCACAGGTAGGTGTCACAGAGGATAGCAGGAACTTGGAAATGCATTAGCATTGGGGACCCTGGGTCAAATTATTATCTGTGATTGAGACTCTTTGCTCAGACTTAACTGAAAATAGGTGGCTAAAGGACCCACGCTACCAGAATCACCTCTCCCACATTTTCCATAAACCCTGGGATATTATTCGGCAAATTAAGATCTTAGAAAATAACGCAGCATCGTCCCGGCAGTCTGGCGAGGCCAGGAAGCCCAGCCTCAGCTTGAGAGAGAGGGAGGGAAAAAAAAGGGCCCTGACTGGGGTTTTTCTCATCTTCGTCCAACCATTCTGACTCCCCTGACATAAAGAAGGAAAAGAAATGAAAAGGCATGTGGGGGAAATAAATCTGCAAAAAGCAAGACCCTCTTTACCTAAATACGTTTCAGCTCTGCCAAGACTTAGAAGTAGGAGGCAAAATGAAAAATCACCCTGTCATTGACAGCCCTGTTTGAAAGGTTGTTCCCCAGCTCAGTGCTAAGAGGAGCTGAGATGTGGGGGAGAAGAACTAGAAAGAAAAATGACTTCACAGATATCCAGTGCTTCAGATCTTCTGAGTTTCCCTCATCTACTCAAGTTCACAACCCTGCGGGAAATTGGTGGGGCGGATGGGAGCGGTGAGGGAGAAGGAGACAACTTTCAAAGCAATTTGTTTTGCAATGGGTCAAAATTGAGTTCAAAGAGAAAAAGAAAAAAAAAAAAAAGCAATTTCCCTACAATATACATCTATAGTCCAAACAGAGGCTGCTTTGTTAGAAGCTTCTAGAAATTCTGCAGACAGCAGAAGTCAACAGAGGTCATCCGCGTTAATTATTTATGAGGTTCCCCTCCCTCTCTCTTTAAAACAAAAACAAAAATATTTTGTTTTCTTTCCTGATCCACAGAAGCAGCCGTAGGTGCTGGCTCTCCTTTCTGCTAAGTGCTGCCAGTAGGGCCTGCGACAGAAGCCAGCCGTGGGAGCACCTGCGGACCTCTGTTTCATAACCATAGCGAGCCGGGCAGGCCACCAGCCATGAGGTCCAGCTGCACTGACCGATAGGCTAATGTCCCCTATCAAGTCCTTCCCTTTCATGTCTCTGGCTCAGGGCTTCCAATCGGACCAGATGCACTGAGAGCTAAAAGCTCCAGGGGGCTGTTCCAAGCCAGTCTGAACACATAGTGACATTTATTTTACACCACAGAATCTTTGTGCTAGAAGGCTCTGTGAAATGTGAGTGGTCAACCTGGCTGTCGCCTCTGCTGCTGCCAAAAAGTAAGGAACAGGTGAGGGACCATATCTCCCACTGGAGAGAACTGTTACAGTCCAAGTGGAAATGCCTTCACTTCTTACCTGGGCACACTCCACTTTGGCACACTCCCCAGTCTGGCAGATCACTTGGCCATGGTCACACACGCAGAACTCGCAGGCCGAGCTCTTCCACATTTCATCCTGGTAGCGCACAATCCCGTTGTGCGAGCAGCTTCCCACAGGAGACACACATTCCTCACAGCATTCCCCGTGACGCTGAGCCCTGCTCTGACCCTGAAGAAACAAAGATGGCGGGTAAAGGGCAGTTCTCAGGAGACTTTGAAAACATCTGAGCCAATGGGGCAGAAGGACATAAAAGGCCAACACTGTATGCTGCTCCTTTCCCCCCACTGCCTAACCTAACCCAGATGAGGCAAGTTCCTCTCTACCTCAGCCTCCTTCCTAGGAAGCAGGTCTTTCATATCTTTATCAAATATTTCTGAATATCATAAACCTTTCGATTCCCTCAAAAGACACACTGGACTGAGAAATGCATTGCTCAAATGACCCAGGATAAAGCTTTGAAAACCAAGCCACACTCTCTCAAATACCTTGTCACATCTTAGTGGAGGGCAGGCTTGTTTGTGGCACCTGACCTCACCCTCGTCACATATACACGTGGTACAGGCATTTTCACTCCACTGCTCACCATGCTGAGTAAAGAAAGGACAAAGTAGAAAATCAAGCATCACATACATCAAATAGAAACACGGGCACATAAGGCACACAACTTTTTGTTACAATTTTTAATTGAGCCACATTGAATGTACTACTGAGAAATGATATCATTTAGGCAGCAACGGCCTCTACGAAAAAAGTCAATGATGTCCTAAGGGAACTTTGCATCCATTTTTATTCAACTGTATTTATTCCATATATGTGTTGAGGGCCTGCTCTCTGCCAGGCACAAGGGGGCCCTGGAACATCAAGATTAATAAGACCCTGTTGGCTGCCTAATGAGTGCTCATTCTTTAGCTCTTCTTTGTCAGGAGACCCAGTGCCCACTGCCACATACTCAATTTCCCAGCTCCCCTTGCAGTTAGGGTAAGGGCATTGTCCCAATCCTAACCAAAGAGACCTCAAGGGAAGTTTGCTAGAGCAGTGGAGGGCAAAGAAAAGACTCTTCTCCCCCACAAAAGAAAATCCATCCCTTTTCCCCACCAGCCGTTAGTAATGATTGTGTGTGGACGAGCTAGTCTGGAGGAAGCCATCTTGGGGACGTGAGGGGAGAAGACAGAAAGCAAATGCCAACATGCTGCCGATGGCAGGGCAGAAAGATCAAAAAAGGATCCTTTGATCCTTGAAGACATCATCAAGACCTCAGTTGATCAACCCTGCAATCACACTACCTCTGGACTTCTTGTTATATGAGATAATAAACATTTTCATTTTAGTCACTTTTAGAGGAGTATTTCTGTTACTTACAACCAAAAACTTCACAATAGATATAAAGGCTATCTCTTCCAGGAGAAATTAACCTGGCACATGTGTGGCTATTGTATTGGACAACACAGATCTGGTACATACAAAAGTCCTTTCCCAATAGTTATGTTCATTCAGATTTCAAGGGACCCATCTAGATTTGTGACATTCATTCCCTAATACTCTGTTCCAGATTCTCTACTGAGAGTCATAATTCCAATTTCTATTTAGTCTTCTTAAGAGTGGCTGGCAAGCAAAGGAAGTAGTTGGATTTATTTTTTATATGTTCTTTGCTTTTGAATAATGTAACCTTCTTTTGGCTCAGCTGGGCACTCCTAAGAACATTCATTCGTTCATTCATTCATTCAGTTTGTTGAACTCATTTTTATTTGGCGCCTATTATGTGTTAGGCACAGTTATCTAGATTGTTCCAACAGTACTTTCAACTGTGCAGGTTCCACCACCACTAGCTTCTCCCCTCCCTTCCCTCTCTCCCTTCCCACCCCCATGCCTCCCCTCAGTGTAATGCAGGGGGAAGCCGTGTCTGGATATCAGTACATACAATCCAACCAAAGCAGAAAGACATTCCCCGGGCCTCCAGCCTAAGTGTAAACTGATAGTAACCAATGATAGTCCTTTTCTTCCTTCGAGACATGTAAGCAGTAAATTCACCAAGGTCTGTGACCCAGGTGCTGCCTGCCAGCACATTCCTTTATATTTCTAATCCTCTTCAATTTAATTTTTTCATAAAGGCTTTCCACAAAGAGAAGGAAAAAAAGCTGTTTTTTTTTTTTTGAGTTACTAATCTTGGCAAAGACTCAGACAAAAGGGTGGGGAGATCTCGTGGTTGGAAGGGTGGAGGGCATATGTGTGAGAATGTATGTCAAAACACGCACAGGGGGTACAGCAAAGGTTACCTCATACACTTGGCCTGATGCAGAGCAGGATCGGGAAGAGCACTGTGGGCAACATTTTCCAGGAACTCGGACTATAGTTTCATCCTTACATCCAAAAAAGGAACAATCCATCAAAAGGAGACATTAATAAAGTCCACAACAGTAGGAAAATTTCATTCATAGCCAACTCAATCATGTGCCTCAAGCATCCATAAATAGCAATTTCCTCTCCTTTAGTATTTATTAGTCACCTGGTGCTTTGATAATTGGCACTTCCAAAGTCATTGTGACTCTCAAGAGGTTTGCACATTCCTCAAGTCCTATCCTCTTCTAAGAACACACAAAAGCACCAATAATAACAATGACAGTAAGAATAGTACTTAGTGTTTGCCAGGCACTATTTTTTTTTTTAAAGATTTTATTTATTCATCTGACAGAGAGAGAGAGAGACAGTGCGAGAGGGAACACAATCAGGGGGAGTAGGAGAGGGAGAAGCAGGCTTCCCACGGAGCAGGGAGCCAGACTC